AAGCCAGCACTCTAGAAGGGAAGCTGCCTAAGCTAGCTAGTGGGAGATGCCAGCCGGAAGAGTGTGTGCTAAGCCCACCCCTCTCATGGAGATAGGTACCTAGGTCCAGGCTGCAGGAATATGCCTAGCTCTGCTTAGCAACCCATGTATGGAACCCGGCCACCTGGAGTCAGATGGCTTAGGTGCCTACGCTGCTTCTTGTGGGAATGAGTTAGGCATCTGCCTCACTCTATGAAGCAGAAGCCGCGGTCCCAGTAGTTAGAGCACTTGCCTGTGATGTGGGAGACCCAGGTTCAATTCCTCCCCCTCTCTGCCAGAGGGGGAGAAAACATTTGAACAGGTGTCTCCCACTTCTCAGGAGAGTGCTCTAACCACTGAGCTATGGCATATTCTGATGTGGGGCTCCCTTGATCTCCCCCGTTGAAGCTGTTCCAATGTGGATAAATAATGAAAGAGCGATTGGAGCATGAGGTCTGGACTCAGAGCCTCCCAGGCAGTGCCCTAATCACTGTACTACACAGTCATTCTCTCTCTCTGTTCTAACAACTGTTTAATTATTTATCCAAAGTCGAACAGTCATTGGAGGCACCATCACCGCCTGCTTTGGATGGATTTTGAATGGGACCCAATCCAGTAGGCAACCTCTGAGCATGCCTGCCAGATCGGGCCCTATATGTGACTTAGGCGGCTGAATGTTTCCCCCGAATTTGTGAATCACTCTGGGGCTTAGGCAAGAGATAGGAGGCATCCAGATGCCTAAAGGGAGGCAGCAGTGCACATGCTAAAAGGCTGAAACTTAGGTGCCTAGGGAACTTTTACTTTGAAAACTTCGGTGCTGAGTGAAGTTAGGTTCCTTCAGGGTTTGGTGTGAGTTTGGTGGATTGCAGTGGAGCCAAAACTGTGACTTATGTGCCTAAACCTGAGACTTAGGCCCTTAGTACATTTGTGGATCTGGGCTTAAGTGGCTACTGGAAATTCAACAAGTCTATTGGATGTGACTAAGAAGACTACCACACATTTATATACAATAATATTAAATAAGGAGCATTGATTTGGCAAAAACTATGTCCAGTTTATGAAGTGCAGAAACCAGATGTATATTTTTATTATAATGGGGCCAAATCCTTACTCAGCTCTTACTCAGGCAATGATACTTTTTCCTTTGGCCTACAGTGGTATGGCAGTTTAGGGACTAATTAATTATTATTGTACACCTCTACCTCGATATAACGCTGTCCTCGGGAGCCAAAATATCTTACCGTATTATAGGTGAAACTGCATTATATCGAACTTGTTTTGATCCACCGGAGTGCGCAGCCCTGCTCCCCCCCCCCGCCCCGGCGCACTGCTTTACCTCGTTATATCCAAATTCGTGTTATATCAGGTCACGTTATATGGGAGTAGAGGTGTATACGGTTTGTTTATAATAGTGCTCACTGTGTGCTAAGTGCCTCCAGGCAGACATGAAGCTCACAATCTAAGGACAGAGCTTAGGGGGAATGGGAAATATATATATATATATATATATATATTTAAATAATGTACATGTCAACTAGAATCACTGTAAGCAGCATGGTGGAAGTGGGCTCTCGAAATGGACTTGTACATGGAAGGAGCAGAGGCCTGGCGAATGAGCTCAGAATCTAAAGAGTCCCTAAATGGTTTAGCGATTGTGATGGAAGTAAAAGGATGGATCTTGGATCAAGTGAGGAGCAAGAAGCAACAGGATTTGGAAATGGCCTGGATGTGTCGAGTAAAGAAGTTATAGGAGTCAAAAATAACCCTCAGATTGTGGACTTGAGTGATGGGAAGAATGATATTGCTGTTAACATTGACAGTTAAGGGGAATGGGAGGGAAGATAAGTAGTTTGGTTTTGGCTATGTTAAGTTTAAGGGGATGATGAGACATCCAAGAGGAAATGCCAGAAAGACAGGCCAAGATGACAGATTGGATGAAAGGCAATATATCAGTGTTGTAGAGGTAGATTTCTGCATCATCAGCAGTTGAAGGTACATGAATGGATGAAACAACCTAGAGATAGGGTGTAAATTGGACAGAGCAGTGGCCAATGACAAGGCCCTGGAAAACCCCCATCAGCTGTGAGAGACAGAAGGAAGAAGATGCTGAGTAAACGGACATAGAGGATGATGGCCAGTATCAGAAAAGTGCACTGATGATGCTGAGGAGAAGATAATGATAGAATCAAAAACAGCAGAAAAATGAGGATTAAGGATGTCCATCAAACTTGGTTTTTCAGTACTTTCTACTCAGCTATTGCAAATGCAGGTGGTTGTAAAAAAGGCACAAGGATGATCGAAGTCCATGGAATTCTATTTTTGCTATTTGAACCAGTTATTTATTTTAAATACTGAGAATGGCCAAACAGTACCAAAAGTCTCAAATTATAAGACATATTTTTGCCAATTCTAGATAAAAATGACAATTTTGCAAAATAAAACCTTACAGTGGAGCAGTTGCTTGCCATATTTTTAAATGCAATTTGCACAATAAGATAGGATCCAATGAAATGTCACTGTATATCACACTGGAAGTACTGTATATACATGCGGATGTATTGACACTGTACTGGATCATCAATATTAATGCACAGTTCTCATGTAAATTCACAACATCATGTAAGCTAGACAATATTAATGAGCAGTATTCTTACTGTGCAATTTGAGTGGGAGACCTGCAGTACTGTATGTAATGGTTCCACTGACATTATATTGTGCCCAAAGGACCAACGGATCAATACAATGTCATTGGAAGTGCTAGAGTTATTTCAGTGTCAATAAAAGAATAGCCACTGTGTCATTGACTTTATATCTGGTCCAAAGCACCCATGAATCAGATACAATGTCAATGGAAGGTTGGGGCAGGGGTTGCAATGAAAGCATCTCACAGTTATCGACATTATAATGGGAGCTCTTAGTATGTCAATGTAAGTGCCATTACAACATTTTTGGGGGGAAGTTACTGTATATTTTTTCATTTTTATTTTATATATATAAAGTTAAAGGAACACAATGTGCATCAATAGCATAGCAATATGAAAATAATGTTGGGAATTTAACTTAATCCAACAAAAACGGAACTATGGCTGCTGATCTATTTTTATTGTGCCCTTTTGTGTTTAAGTATTGCAGTGCAGCTATCCACATACTTATCTAAATCCACTTATAACCTAATAGAAAGCTGAGAATCAAGAACAGAGTGGCAGCTGTCACTTTTATTACCTTGCTTTTGTAAGTTCAAGATAGACCTGTAATGTAATTTTAATTTATCTCTCTCTTACACAGTAGACTGCATGGGCCAATCAATAAATTGCATCATTTTCATTTAATCTTCAGTAACACATTGTTTTAGTACAGACTACAGTGTACTGTAATGCTAGGAAAACTTCGAATAGTCTCTATTCTGTATATATGTGTGTGTGTGTGTGTGTGTGTGTGTGTGTATATATATCAGACAAAATACAACTCACAGTGAGTACTAAATTAATTACCAGAACATGCTTAGAGTAGGAGAAAAAAACTGAAAAAACTGTAAAAACATAACTGAAGGATTTCGGTTTCCACCTCCATTACTTGTTAAATAAAAGATGTCATAGAAGAAAACATAGCAATTAATGTTAGATGTTTACTTCTAAAGTTTTAATTAAATCAGCAGTATGAAAACAATCAAAGTTAGGAATCCCCACCTTCCACCCATTCTTTCCCCACCCCAAAAAAGAACGGAGCTAAAATGTTCTCAAACAGAATTACACAAACTTCAAAATGCCAATTAACTTGAAACTGCAGCACTGGGATCTTGAGTCTCAAGTCTCAGTAACTGGAAGCTTCTTCCGTTTCAAGATAAGAGAAAAGTGTAAGGCTCCTGCAGGTGGGGGCACTAAGTGCTGCAATGTTTGGTCACAAAACAGCAAAGCTTCTTGGCAAGGATAGTGAATTTTTATGCATTACATATTCAAAGTACCCAAATTATGTTAGCAAGAACAATTACTATTGCCTCCTATCTAGTAGCAGGAGAGAGCACCTCAATTTGATAAGGGCTCAATAGAAGCTTTTTTTAAATACCATGATTCTGCTTTTCACATTGTCCACTCCTCCAAGAACCTTAGAGGTCTGACAAACTGTTTTTAATCTTCCATTGAAAGAAGCTATTTAGAAAAGCAAGAGAAGCTTTGAATTTAAGAGGAACTGCCAACAATTCTGGAAAAATTTCAGTTATCCCACCTCACTCCCAAGTTTCACCATAAATAAGATAAAGTAATAACCGCGAACATAATATTGTAAATAAACGTAAAGAAATACAGTAAATATAATCTACCAAAAAGGCAGCCTTGATTAGATATTCATTATTATCCTTATGTTATTCTCTCTCCATTTTCAGGTGAAATTTCCAGAATCCATTTCATGCATTATTGCACTATTCCAATATTGCATTGCCTGGCATATTATGATTTCTCTTTCAGTGTATAGCGTTTACAATAAAGGGATGTAATAATATAGCCATTAACCACAAATGAAAACATGTGCTATATATTGTGTCCTTTAAACCTCACAAATAAAACAACAATATTGAAATTCAACTCTCAGCGTTTTGGGGGGGTTGTTTTTTACAGTAATCTCTGTTAATTAAGATAGATGTGAACTGTTAACTAGAGGGCACTGTGTACTCTAAGGACTAAACATAAGGTTTGTTTCCTCGTTAATACCTGTATCTTAAATTCCTTCGACACTCATCCATCAAGAAAGGGCTGCTAGGTGAACTGATTGTCACTCTAGCCTAGGCTAATAGATTCTCCAGTGGCTTTTGTTACAACTCATGTCACACTATTAAAACTATGCTCCTTGAAAATGGCATAACATATGTAGCTGAGACTTGTCAGCTCTGGGTAATCAGACTCTGCTTGGTTTCAGAAGCAGATGCAGATGAGACGAGCAATATAAATATGCAAATCACAATGGTCCCTTGTCAGCACCACTGTTCCTACCTCTAATGGCCCTCGTAGAAAGTCTGTTTGCTCAGCTCCTACTTCCAGTGCTACATCGACAGAAGCAAAGGGACGGCTGGCCATCTGCTGTCGCTCCCGCATAAGTTGCTGATGGGGGAAAAACGATGTTTTAACAAAGCATTTTAAAAAGTAATGTAAAAGTATTCATCTGTTTTACTTTACATCCAATTACAATGTAACAATATAGGTAGCATGCATGTAGCCACGTCTAGAATGCTAAAGATAGAAATTATTACATTATCACCACACAATATTTATTTGAGGGCTGAAACGAGAGGGCATTTGTTGTCTACAAATGGACTTTCCCCCTCAAGTCAACTGAAATGTACTCCAAATAACTGCCCGTGTTCCTGGCCACTCCAAATAATGTAGGTGTTTCTCCAAGCTGGAAGCAAATATGTGAAATGGTAGAAAAAGATAGTTATTTGAAGTCTAACTTCATTGATAAATCAGAGAATGAACACCTGCCAAGAACAAGTCCATTCAGCCTTCAAATTCCCCATGCTTTTTTGTACTGAAGCCAGACAGAGTTATTAGTGTCAGTGCTTACAATTATATATAGCAGCTCTTCTCCAATTATTTAAACATGAAGAATACCGTGTTGGTATTGGGGAGCTTGTGCCAATGTGCTGAAAAACTCAGTTATGCTCATATAGTCCCTTGTGCACATGCCAGTGAGCACATAAGTCTCAACCAATACCACAAAGCTAATTTATATTTCTTCCTCAACCTGTAATTATAATACTCATTAAACCATGGTGAATAAAAATGATGACCAGAACAAGATATTACAACTTTTACTTCTCTGGTTCTGTGCAACTAATAAAAGCTCTATTAAATATTTAAAGTTGTGCAATTAAAGTTGGGTCCTCCCTCAAATGAAGAGGATGTGACAGCATCTAGAAAAAGCAAAATGCTCGCAAAAATGCTTTATGAGAAAAGATCTAGGTTCCATTTTCTTGGGATTTTTTCCTCTACTATTTCCTTGCATAGCCTAAAATATTAGACACTGGCCTTTGAATGTAAATGCTGTCAGCACTGTGACATACTGTTCATTAAATTCCCTTTGAGATAATAAAGGGTATACAAGCAAATACCTGAAGGCAGCTTATTATTTAATGCTCTTGATTTAATGCCTGTTACAATGCTACAAAGTACATTCATAACATTTCTCATGCATTTTTGTTCTCAATTTGTATTTTAATTTTTTCTCATAAATATAAAATACCATTGTTGACATTACAATGAAAATAATGTGATTGTCACCTAACTGATAGCCACTATGATCCTAAGTTCTGATCCTGTCAATGTGCACTGCACCTGGTAGGAAACATTTGCAGAATTGGGCCCCTTATTTGTCATGCCCGTTGAATAATTGATAGGTCTGTGGGCGAAACTACACACTGTATATTCAGACTGAACAAACGCATATTTTGAATATTTAGATTATTAATAACAGACAAGTAATTCATTTAAAAATGAACTCAGAAAGCTCTCAGTCAATAATTACAATTAATCAATATTGTGTATTCATAGATTTTACAGCCAGAAAGGACCAGTATGATCTTCTAGTCTACTCTCCAGCATAACAGAGACCATAGAATTTTACCCAGTAAAAGTATTAAATTATTGGGTGCTAAATTCACCATATCTATCTCCTTTCTCTGTTTTCTCATAAAACACCACTACACAGGGCCTACAGCCCTGGCAGCTTTACTAGTAATGTCACTGGAACTAGGATCAGGCCCATAATATAATTTGAAGAAGTTAATGTCTTTATAAAAACAAATACAAAAGTATAATTGTAACATATACTTTGATCTTACCACCTGACCCCATTAAAAAAAGAACACACACACAAAACAAAACCAGCATAAGTCTCTTCTCAAATGTTTAAAAGCTGATTGATTGTGGGAAGTCAACCGACAAATTCCTAAATCCCTCAAATATCACTCCTTTTACTGCCTGATTTATCAGTGCAGCCAGAAATCACCTAATCAAGTTGCTTTTTCATCTCAAACTTCCCTGGTATGAGAAAGAAAATTCTGAGGACAATCATAACTAACTTTACTCTAAGAGTTTGCATCCAGAGATATCATATGGATTCAATTAGTAATTTGATAACCAATGGCCACGTTAACACCACCCTATACCGAAAACCCACCGACCGCTATGCCTACCTTCATGCCTCCAGCTTCCACCCCTGACACACCACACGATCCATCGTCTACAGCCAAGCACTGAGGTACAACCGCATCTGCTCCAACCCCTCAGACAGAGACCAACACCTACAAGATCTTCACCAAGCATTCTCAAAACTACGATACCCACACAAGGAAATAAAGAAACAAATCAACAGAGCCAGACGTGTACCCAGAAGCCTCCTGCTAGAAGACAGGCCCCAAAAAGAAACCAACAGAACTCCACTGGCCATCACCTACAGTCCTCAGCTTAAACCTCTCCAACGCATCATCAGTGATCTACAAACCATCCTGGACAATGATCCCTCACTTTCACAGACCTTGGGAGGCAGGCCAGTCCTTGCCCACAGACAACCCGCCAACCTTAAGCATATTCTCACCAGCAACCACGCACCGCACCATAACAACTCTAACTCAGGAGCCAACCCATGCAACAAACCTCGATGCCAACTCTGCCCACATATCTACACCAGCAACACCATCATAGGACCTAACCAGATCAGCTACAACATCACCGGCTCATTCACCTGCACGTCCACCAATGTTATACATGCCATCATGTGCCAGCAATGCCCCTCTGCTATGTACATTGGCCAAACTGGACAGTCACTACGCAAGAGGTTAAATGGACACAAGTCAGATATCAGGAATGGCAATATACAAAAACCTGTAGGAGAACACTTCAACCTCCCTGGCCACACAATAGCAGATGTTAAGGTAGCCATCTTACAGCAAAAAAACTTCAGGACCAGACTCCAAAGAGAAACTGCTGAGCTCCAGTTCATTTGCAAATTTGACACCATCAGATCAGGATTAAACAAAGACTGTGAATGGCTATCCAACTACAGAAGCAGTTTCTCCTCCCTTGGTGTTCACACCTCTACTGCTAGCAGAGCACCTCACCCTCCCTGATTGAACTAACCTCGTTATCTCCATACTGATTTATACCTGCCTCTGGAGATTTCCATTACTTGCATCTGAAGAAGTGAGGTTCTTACCCACGAAAGCTTATGCTCCCAATACTTCTGTTAGTCTTAAAGGTGCCACAGGACCCTCTGTTGCTTGATAACCAAAAGGATTATTTAAAAAAAACCTTTTTATTTAGGCAAAGTTACAATAAAATGTTAACATATACACCATATATTATTTATTCAGGATCAGGTTAATACCCAAAGAACGATTATTTTTTGAAGTACAAAATGGAACAAAGCTTCTCAGATACAAAATAACATTTGCTGATATCTAAGCAACAACATTCTTCCATTTCAGAGCAGGATTAGTGGTCAGCAAACTTATTATTATTATTTGTCATTTCTACTATGGCTGGCATGTTACAAACAATAGGTCCCTGCCCCAAAAAGCTTAAAGTGTGCATTAACTAGAGTACAGGGAAGAATGCCAAAGGGCAGAGGGATATGGGAAGCAAGGGGATTTCAACACTAAAAGATCATGGGACATGATTTGTTGTACACTCAGCTTTTTACAAAAATATTAATATATTATCACTTCACAATAAGTCAGTTTAAAGGACAGCAGGGTGGTGAGAAGAAGAGCCTAAAAGGACACTAAGAGACATGAGCCTTCAGGAAGGATATGAAGGAGGAGAGGGAGGGAAGAAAATGCCAACCTCATTCTGGCTATGTGGTTAGTACAAGCCACGTGGACTCTTTTTATTCACCTCAGGCTGTGTGGAGTATGTTCCCTAATCCATCATTGTCATGATATTGTTGGGGGGAGAAGCTATGTAACATTTTTTAACATATGCATGCAACTATAAACAAGGACCAAAACTTTAGAAAGTGCCTCAACTTTTAAGATATCGCAAGGGGCCTGATTTTCATGAACTGCTGAGCAACCATCCTTTGACAATCAGCCTCCTTGATATGTCTCAAGGTAGTCAAGCAAAAACTGAAGCACCCTAAAACGCTCATCATTTTTTTAAAATCCTGGCATGGATATTTGACTACTGATTTCCTTTTGCCAGTAATTCCTTGGGACAAATGAAAGATAAGGAAGCAAGTTATGCATTTATCATAACATGGTAAATTACTTTCATACCACAAGAACACATTTTAGTGCAAGAGTCATCCAGTGTCATTTGTTTGACTCAAAAAGCTGTTCCATCAGGTTGTTCAAGATGTCTTATGAAATAAAGATCAGACAACCAAAATTGCTACACACATTATTTTAAGTTTATTTGAAAACATTATAACAAACAGCTATACTCTTATTGACTCAAATTAACTAATAGAATTTACTAAGAAACAACATAGACTTCATCCCTCAGTCTTCAATTATGAGCTCAAATAACAAATTCAAATATTAAATATAATTTTCTAGATTTATCTGATTATGTCAACCAAAAAAGCATCAAACCCATGATCAAAGTACAGGATAATATTCTTATTAAGCAACAGAAACCAATTCTGCCCCTTTATCTGCTTCCTCTTAATCCATCCTGTGCTGTGTTTTTATCACTGATTTTGGAAGTCCCAGAATCTTGTGACATGACCTCAGCTAAGATTCAGCCCATTGGTTAACAGTTCATATTAGCTGTGGTTGCCTGCAAAAAATGTTTGGATATGAGTGAGGCCATGCAAGGACACAAGCCTTCACTTATATGTCAAAATCTGCCTCTTAATTAACATGATGGTTCGTTAATATACATTACTCCTTCAAATGACTTCAAATGTTTTGAAGTCACAAAAAACTGTATTCTAATTGGCGGATTGGTGGATTTTTGTGTGTGATATTTTAATCCTCCTTCTAAAGAGATGGCCAAATCCTAAAGTCATAGATCAATTCTTATGGAAACAAAACATTTGTTGACTTTGATGTCAATAAGAGTTTCAACTAAGGTCTTGTTTACAGACAAAAATTGTACCA